TTGTCTCCCTTGTCCAACTTCAACTAATTTGCTCAGGTTTGAAAATAATTAATGGGGCTCACAATCATAGAAGATGTCCAAGATAGTATATTTATATGTGAAATATCTCTTCCTTCAATATTCTTTCATGAATTGTTCAAGTGACTATGATGCCCCCGATTCAATCGTACACTAATCATGCACGCAAATGTGTATGATCAAGATCAGGGACTCACGGGAAGATATCACAACACAACTCTAAAACATAAATAGGTCATACAAGCATCATAATACAAGCCAGGGGCCTCGAGGGCTCGAATACAAGTGCTCGATCATAGACGAGTCAGCGGAAGCAACAATATCTGAGTACAGACATAAGTTAAACAAGTTTGCCTTAAGAAGGCTAGCACAAACTGGGATACAGATCGAAAGAGGCGCAGGCCTCCTCCCTGGGATCCTCCTAAACTACTCTTGGTCATCGTCAGCAGCCTGCACGTAGCCGTAGGCACCTCCAGTGTAGTAGGAGTCGTCATCGACGGTGGCGTCTGGATCCTGGGCTCCAACATCTGGTTGCGACAACCAGGTAGAAGGGAAAGGGGGAAAAGAGGGAGAAAAGCAACCGTGAGTACTCATCCAAAGTACTCGCAAGCAAGGAACTACACTACATATGCATGGGTATATGTGTAAAGCGGCATTTCGGTGGACTGAACTACAGAATGCCAGAATAAGAGGGGGATAGCTAATCCTGTCGAAGACTACGCTTCTGGCAGCCTCTGTCTTGCAGCATGTAAAAGAGAGTAGACTGAAGTCCTCCAAGTAGCATCGCATAGCATAATCCTACTCGGCGATCCCTCCTCGTCGCCCTGTTAGAGAGAGATCACCGGGTTGTATCTGGCACTTGGAAGGGTGTGTTTTATTAAGTATCCGGTTCTAGTTGTCATAAGGTCAAGGTACAACTCCGGGTCGCATGTTACCGTGGACATGGCTATTCGAATAGATAAACTTCCCTGCAGGGGTGTAGCACATTACCCGACACGCTCGATGCCATTTGGCCGGACACACTTTCCTGGGTCATGCCCAGCCGCGGAAGATCAACACGTCGCAGCCCCACCTAGGCACAACAGAGAGGCCGGCACACCGGTCTAAACCTAAGCGCATAGGGGTCTGGGCCCATCACCCTTAGCACACCTGCACGTTGCGAGGGCGGCCGAAAGCAGCACTAGCCCCCTTAATACAAGAGCAGGCTTACGTTCCAATCCGGCGTGCACTGCTCAGTCGCTGACGTCACGAAGTGCTTCGGCTGATACCACGACGCCGGTTGCCCATATCTTGTCCCACGTGGCGGTTAGTGCGTATAAGGTCAACGACCCAACTCAGATCAAATACCCAGATCTTGTTAAGCATGTTAAGTATCCGCGAACGCCGAATAGGGCCAGGCCCACCTCTCACCCAGGTAGTCTCAACCTGCCCTGATGCTCCGCCACAATGATCCACACAGAGGGCCGTTGGGACAAAGGTCCTTTCAGCCCCCAATCCGTGAATCACTCGCGGGTACTCCTCGAGCCGACCCGACTTTAGTCACCACATGTATCATGTATAAGTATATAGTATATACCCGTGATCACCTCCCGAGTGATCACGGCCCGATAGTATAGCACAGCAGACGGACAAGAATGTAGGGCCACAAATGAAATACTAGCATCCTAAACTAAGCATGTAGGATAGCAGGTAAAGGTAACAATAGTAGTAACAAGGACAGGCTATGCATCAGGATAGGATAAACGAAAAGCAGTAACATGCTATACTACTCTAATGCAAGCAGTGTAGAAGAGAATAGGCGATATCTGGTGATCAAGGGGGGGGGGGTTTGCCTGGTTGCTCTGGCAAGGAGGACGTGTCGTCAACACCGTAGTCGAACTAGGGGTCGCCGGCAGTCTCGGGGTCTACCGAAAAGAAGTAATGGAGGGGGACACAATAAATAACAAAGCAATCAAAGCATCACAAAGCATAACATGGTAATACGCGGTGCTAGGTGTGCCCTAACGCGTCAGTAGGTGGTACCGGCGAAAGGGGGAAACATCCGGGAAAATATCTCCGGTGTTTCGCGTTTTCGGACAGATGAATCGGAGGGGGAAAGTTGCGTGTTCGTTATGTTAGGGATGCGTGGCGGACGAATGGGCTGCATATCCGGATTCGTCTCGTTGTTCTGAGCAACTTTCATGTACAAAGTTTTTTCATTCGAGTTATGGATTATTTTATATCATTTTTCAAAGTTTTAATTCTTTTTCTAAAATATTTTAATTCGAAATTAATTATTAAATTGCTAAAGGTACCCAGCCCAGTGTACATAGCAATGTACCCAGGGGCTGTCAAGTGGGCCAGCAGGACCCAGTTGACCAGTCAAAGTTTGACTGGTCAACAGGGGGTGGGCTCCCTGGCATTCGTTGTTTATTCTAATTACCGTTTAAATAGTTAACTAGCAGTTTACTTAATGTTAAGTTAATTTAGCAAAGTTAATTAAGTTAATTAATTTGTTAATTAATCATTTAATTACATATTTATTTTTGTTCTCTTTTTTTCCAAGGGCTGGGCCCCGCCTGGAAGTGTTCCAGGAGCCCAGCGGGCATGGGCTAACGGGCACCAGGGCGGGGCGCACCTAGCTGGGGCACGCGGGCGATCTAGCCAGCGCCTGCGGACACAGCGACGGCGAGCTGGGGTGCGACGGGGCGGGCACTCACAGGTGTGCGGCGACGGGCGCAGGCCGGTGCGTGGCTGCGGCGGATGCAGCATCAGAGGCAGCAGGGCGGCGCCGGCGCCAGCGTGACGGAGCGGGCACTAACGGGGAAAGGGCGCAGTCGACGCGCGTAGGCGCAGGGGTCAGCGTGTGCGGCATGCGGGGGGAGGGGCACGAGGCGCGGACGCGAGACGGCGTTGGCGGGCGCGTGCGGTGGCCGATGGTGCGTGACAGGCGACGGGGAGAGGTGTCGGAGCGGGCGCACAGGGGAAAGAGGAGGCCAAAGACCTCACCAGCGTTGCAGGGGTTCGGTCGTCGAGGCTTGGGGAAGCCGGCGTGGAGGAAGACGAGGAGGCGTCTGGCGACGGCGGTGATGGGGTCGGGTCGGTCCGACGAGCCGGCGACGAAGCTCGGGGGCAGGCGGGGCACCATGGTCGAGGCGGAGGACGAAGACGGGCAGCGAGGTGGTGCAGTGCACGGCGAGGAGCAGTCGAGGATGGATCGTTCCGGCGGGGAGGCGGTCCGGTGAGGGCGGGTTCGAGCAGCGCCGCGGGGTCGGTGGCGCGGTTGCCCCGATCCAGACGGGGGAGGGGAGCGTGGGGGAGTGGGGGATCGAGGGGAGTGGGGTAGCAGTTAGGGTTTCGGTCGGGTGTGGGAAATAGGCCATATAGGCCAGGGGGTGTGGGAGTGGGCCGGCCAGGCGGCCTGCTGGCCTGCTGGGCCGAAGCCCAGTGAGGGGGAGGGGTTTTTCTCTTTTATTTTTGTTTACTTTCCTTCATTTTATGAACGAGTTCAAAATCTTCTTCTTTTTGGCAACGGAGCATGTCTCATCCACAGTTGATTCTTTTTTGCGAGTTTCCACGCACAGTTGATAGTTTTGAAAACACATTGTCTAGAGCATCGAATATTGTAGCTTGGAGGAGGTCTCGTCATTTCCTCGGAACTAGTAATCCCTTCATTTATATTTATTTTGTATAGTAGCTTTGTCGGAAATCCAAATTTATAAATGTTAACCAAGTTTATTGGAAATAACTTAATACAATACCAAATCGATCCCATTAATTAGATTCACCATTGAATATATTTAAAAAAAATGTACATATTGTATTCTATAAACTTGGTGAAACATTGTAAAGTTTGACTTCAGTCAAAGCTACAAGGAGTAAATAAAAACAAAGGTGGTATTTGGAGGCAACTTCCTTCAAGATGTACGTGTTTCTCATACATGATATTTGATTGCTCATTTGCCCTTAATTCATAGAGTGTAGCATGTTGTATAATATTTTTTTCCTATATCCAGTATAGTGACAGAACTATGTTTGAACGTGTGAGCTTTTAGTCATGCAACTTATAGAACAAGCCATATTGACATCACTAGTACCAACTAAAAGCAACCGGTACTGGAAGAAAAAGGACCCATTTGGATGACCTTCCTCGGCCTAATAAGAAATTGTGATTTGCTGAAACTACACATAATGAAATAAGTTTACCAATCACTAGAAATAGATTGTCACTCCAATATAAATAAAAAATCACCCTCTCCTAGTGATCATTTTGTTTAGTTTTGCCCCATCAATTATCATATCCCATAGCACTGTAGCCCCGACCAGTTTCAAATAACAAAAATATTGTAGAAGTTTTACAAAAAAAAATCATACATCTATTATAACATCGTGTATTTCCTTGTAAAGTGACAGTTGGTGTTCTATGTGAAAAGAAAAAGGTGAACATGTTATTAATTTTTTTGCACCAGTCGTACCTGATCATACTTTATGCAAACAAAATCATTCATAGACTTTACACCGCAACATATATACATGAATTTAACACAATTGTTGAAACTTTAATGTGTTTACACGTAGAAAATGGATCTGGTGGGTCAGGGTGGGGGTGGCACTGCTTCTAAAGAATTCTAGTTTACGGGTAAAGTGAGGCTAAAAATTTAGGGGGAAAATGAAGCAATAATTTAGGAGAAAAACTATGTTTAAGATAAAAAGCAAGGCACTACATTATAGCATCCAAAAAAAGCAAGACACCTGAAATAGAGCATCCACAATATTGTAAATTGGTGCCAAACACTGGCATTACAACATGCATAATGTATATTCGAGGAAGCTAACACACCATCTTCAAACCAACCAAAACTCCAGTCTTCACGCATCACTAGACCAAGAGAGGAAGATGATCAATATGTATGTAATGAAAGAAGCTGCTGTCATTGAAATGATTGGAATGTAGAACCATATTGACGTCGGTCGTAACCGACCACCTACAAAAACAACCATGATCAATAGAAGGGTGCCCGTTGAGGGGGGCCACAGACGCTCTTCCGAGGCTGGCGGTGGTAGCTTGTCCCTCCAATCAGCAGAAAGTTGCTAGGCCCAGGTACATCGCCGCCTTCTTCTTCTTCTTCGTGTAAGTTTGTGTATTCCCACTTGCATTCCGGATCAAGAATGAATGTCAAGTTGGGATCAGACACCATTGCATGAAGCTGACATCAACGGGGAAACATAAATTTACATGAGTAAATTATACTATAGAATAGCTAGCTAGTAGATGTATACAGGATGCATGTCTGAACAATCAGATGTCTAAGACTGGCAGCATTTGTATACTTTGCAAGTAGATAGAGCTCATACTAGCTATAGTAACAAAAATGCCACATAAAGAACATTCATATAAATACTCCAAAGATTAGATTTCACATGTTTGGATCCAAGGATATGATATTACGAGGCAGTTCATTGGTAGAAGATTATGCAAGTCGATCGGTCGGATCATGTAAACAGATTCGACATACTGGTTCACAAGCATTTTGGTGACTTCAACTCAGCTGTATTTGTAGCATCACGGCCGGGTGTAATCAAACCCAGCTTTCCAACTATCTATCGACATGTCTGCCACTCAGTGAATGTACATAAATGCTAGGAAAGCATGCATGAGAGAGGCGGAGGTACGCGCGTATACCTTGCAGGAGATGGAGCAGAAATGGAAGATTGGCTCGACGAGTTTCCGGTCGCACACCAGGCATTCGCCGGCGGGCCTGAAGCACTTGACGGCATGCTGTGGCGCCTGCGACCTTGGGTTGAGGTAGACCACCCTCTCATGGTTGACCACGTATGGCTGCACCAGGGACATGTCTGCAACCTCGTCCAACTGCGCCACCCGGATCACCTCGCCGTACCTTGAGGACCGTCGTATCTGCAATAATATCCATCAATCTACAACGCCGCCGCTGCCATTGCTACGCACGTGATGCGCTTGTATATGTTAAATACCTGGAGGACATGGTGGTCGCGGTGGCTGGAGAGGCACATGGGGCAGCAGACGGCGTTCTCCTCGCCAGCGCAGCTAAGGCAGTAGTGGTTGCACTCATTCTTGGCCAGTCTGGGGTGCGCGGCACAGCGCTGGAAGAACCCCGCGCCGAGCAGCGGCCCCAGCCACGACGGAGGGCCGCCCAACTTCATGGCCGACGACGATGACATTGCTCTCTTTCTGTAAACCAAGCAGACAAACAGAATGCATATGTGAGCTTCAGAAGATGCAGCGAGAATGCCAAGAACAGTGTACGTTCTAGCTAGGATCATAGGCAATACTAGCAATTGATGTGTACCTATACTTGGACGCGGACGTCGTTCCCGGTGGAGGTGGCCGCCGGCGGGGTAATTTTGATTCCTGTAGATCTACGAATTGAAAGTGATGTGATTTGCTTTATATATATTTGTTGGGAGGGAGAGGGAAGACATGGAAATGGAAAGAAAACCATGTAGGGTTTCCACTGCGTACAAGGCCAGTTCGAAACAAGAATTGCTTGCGTTTCTTTCCATGTATAGCCTTAGACACAAGAGGAATCTTCAAATGTTCTGTTACTATTTTTGCATAGCTATTTGGCCATGAGTGCAAAAATTATTCATCTCATTAATATCCTAGTTGAAAAGCTAAAACTAAAATTGAAGTGCAAAATACTCACCAAATGGAATGCAAAATTCATAAATGACTCCCGTGTCGTGTTATATTAGTTAGCGATCATCGGTCGCCAATGGGCAGTGGCTCTTCTACAAAGTTTATTGGTTTAGGTCACAACTTAGCACATCAATGGTCGATGACATAGGTGAATGGGCCTCTTGCCACAGGTCGTCAATTTCGAAGAACAAAACGATGTGTCTCTATCGACATGGAGGTGGTGATGGCCATGTAGGCATATACAGGGGATAGATTATGTAGGGTGGTAAGGAGGCCATGACACTGCGGTGGGGCCAAAAGGAAAAAAACTCTATGAGAAAAGGCAGACATGGACCTATGTTTAAGTGACGATATGTGTTAGTATAAATCTGAGGCGCCTAGTCGATCATCTGAGGACCAAGCAATCACACGAGCACAACATCGAGATTTGTTAACGAGATTCACCAATATGCTACATCCCGGGCCTTGACTATGGGCACGCCTCCCGTGACACCTTCACAATACCGCACACCGGCCACCCGAGCGCCGGCACAAGCCGCCGGCTCCCCATTGCACGCATGTGCTCTTATGTTGGCATAGGTTACATCGTCTGTCTATCCCCACTATATATGAGAGGCCTAGGACACAAGTGTCCTACTAGGACACGACTCCATACCATGTAAACACAATACTACTCAGAGTCCAGCTGTAACCTATCTTGTACATAATATTCGACACAACTCTAACAAACTACACCTTGGTGAATATTCTCCACCACCTTGCATTTGTCCATGCGTCAAACTTTCTTGTACATTGGACTTGAGCTTATCCCCTGAGTACAGCTGCTACTCCTAAAACTCCATGTGACTCCACCTGGAACTTGTTGTCCCTCCTTTTCTTGATCACAGTCAATGCCCAAGCAAAATTGAATTTCTCTTTTGTATAATTTGTGCTCCCAACTACCAGAGTATCAATTCAACTCCATCGCACACTGATCACCGACCTGTATGAAAGTGAACAACTCACATATTGGGTGTTTCACATAAGAGTTACCTGAACTCAACATCACCGCTCTTCCTTGACCGTTTGTTTGAATTGAAAAAATTTCACCATTGCTTGTAGTCATCCTGAGTCAAATTCTTAGTTGTCTCACCACATGTATGACCAAACAGAGCCCTGGTCCATCTCCATGTCCCATGCATACCGCACGCCTCGCCGCTATTACCTCGTGGAGCCTCCGTTGTCCCGATCGAGTCTCAAGGATCGCGAACCCACACCACTCAACCACCACTGCAGACTACCACGAATCATCATCGACTGTTGATGAGTTTCACGTTTCCATCGGACCATTCGGTTCCATTCCGAACTATGTGTGTCACTCATTGTTTTCCCACAGAATAGGCTTCGATTCTCTGTCGACTTACACCATAGCCTCTCAATCAAAACATAGTGAAGTATTCCAGACTCCATCTCCACCATCAATATGATTCCATGGTACATGATCAGTCCACCTCTGCGCCTCATCGACTTCAAGCTCTATGTATACACCACCCTGAATCAATCATGCACCATGGTCTTGTCGAAGCCGTACAAGCCTCAGGCATGTGCCACGTGTTTCCACGCCCAGAAGTCGGTCACCATCAGCATCACGCTTTTATGTCGTCGTCACCAATCCCACCACCGTCTTCTGTACCAACCGACTTGCGTCGATCCGTCTGACTGTCCAGTCCGACCCAGGCTCCCAAATCATCTTCTACGAATTATCATACATCACATATAATTCCATCTTAGCTGACATGACTTCCTATAACGCCTTCAAGCATCCCTATTGTGCCAACAAATCTTTCACCCTTGTCTGCCATAACCCAAGGTTTTCAGTTCCGTGAACTTCTCCACCTCAAACCTGGTATCCATTGGCGCCATGGTTCTTCGTATGACGGGCTGTGTGAAAATAATACCTGAGCTATCCCCACGGCGCCAAACTACACGAGCAAAACCCAGCATGATCTCTAGGAAAAAAGGCACTATCCTTTATAAGCACTACTTCCTGTACGTTCGATAAACCTAGGGTCTCTAGGAAAAAAGGCACTATCTACTACATTTGAAACCAGGTCAAAGGTAATCACGAGACTTATCCTATGTTCATCACTGCTAGATACACTGATCCTGACTATAACTACGACACAAAAGTGGAGTATCGGGGCCTCCTCCCTCATGCCACCAGAGCGACAAGAAAAAATCGAACAGAGCCAACAAGATCGATGGAGGATATCAGGAGGAGCAGAGTCGCTTTTTTGATCATTGCACTAGTGGGAGAAACATGGAGCAACGTGTTTGACTATCGATGCTAGATCAGTTGCACATCTAGTTGAGCAACAACAAGCCCCAGAGGAGCTTTCTTCACGGAGATCTGATAGTGCCATCATCCTCGAAAGATTGGCAAGTACGTATATTTTGGTCTTCTAGCTGGGCAACTAATATCGAAAACAACTTGCGTCCACAACAATTAGAAAAGGACCCACAGACTTCAACGGGGAGGAGTAGAAGGATGTGATGAAGTGCCAGCAAAAGCCATCGATGGAGGTGGTGTAGAAGATCTTTGGAGGAGTTACTCACCTGATAGTTTGGAAAGCCCCACCGCCATCATGAGATCTGGTTGTATTCAGTTCTCTAGTGGTAGGCTTTTGACGGTGCTTTTAGAGAGCTCTTTCGTGTTTGCACAAATTTGACAAGCGGCGTGATGAATATATCAAAAAAATTATGTGTCTGCTTCACATATTCTTTACCAGACGGATTTTAGGCTTCGCATATTCTATATCAACATGATTCTAAAATTTAGGGAAAGCACGCATAAAAATAGTACTCCCGCCGGTCCTTTTTATTCTGCATATAAGTTTTATCCAAAGTCAAAACGTCTCTACTTGGACCAAATTTATAAGAAAAATATCAACATTCACAATACCAAATCAATATTTTTTGACTTATTACGAAACATGGTTTCATAGTATATATTTGGTATTGTAGATGTTGATATTTTTTAATATAAATTTGGTCAAACTTTGTGAATTTTGACTTGACAGATATCTAATACACAAAGTAAAATGGACCGGAGGGAGTTCATCATAACATGCATGAGATAGTGCTGAGCTTTTGTATTTTTTTTCTCGAGCTATAGATGGAATTTGTTTTTCTATGGAGTTTATGATAGTATAATATTATTGTCATAAAACAATGGAATGTGGATTTTGTACTATAGAGAGCGCATGTTCCTTGTATTACAATTTTCAATACTAAGTTGAAGAGTTTCAGAAAGTCATAAAAATATAGTGTATAAATATTAGAGTGAGTCATGTGCCAAGCAAATGTATTTGGATTTCCACTAAACTTCAAAATGAACTTGATTCGTTAGGATGAAAGACAAAATTTATTTTATTTTATGGATGTGTGCAAAATCTTGTTGTCTTTGACAAGGGAGCATCTGCCGTGCATAGTTGATTTTTCTTGTGATCTTCTATGCACAACCAATATTTTTTAAGCACATTCTCTAGAGCCTGCAGATTGTAGCTTGGAGGCAGTCTCGCCATTTCCTTGGAGCTAGTACTCCCCCCGTGTTTATTTACTCTGAATAGTACTTTTGTCAGAAGTCAAACTTTATAAACTTTGAGGCAGATTATAGAAAATGCATTAACATATATAATTCCAAATTGATATTATTATAATCATAATTCAATATATTTTACATGACATATAGTTTTTTGACCGTGTACAATGTACATATTGTTTTCTCTAAACTTGGTCAGACATTTTAAGGTTTGACCTCAGTCAAAGCTAATATATGACTAAATAAAAATGGAGGGAGTATTTGGAAGCAACTTCCTTCAAGATACACACATGTTTCTCTTACATGAAATTTGAATGCTCATTTGCCCTTAATTCATAGAGTGTAGCTTGTTGTATAATAATAACAATAAAAGATCTACATCCAGTATAGCGACAAACTATGTCTGAATGTACGGACCTTTTAAAGATGCTATTTACAGAACAAACCATATTGACATCACTGACACTAACCAAAAGCAAACGGTACTGGCGAGAAAAGGCCCATTTGAACGCCCTTCCTCTGCCTAATTAGAAATGTTTATTGCTGAAACTACAGATAATGAAATAAGTTTACATATCATTAGAATTAGGTCATCACTTCAATATAAAGAAAAAATATCACCCTCTCCTCCAAAAATATTGTTTTTCTCATTTTGCTTATTTTGACCCCATCGATTATTTTATCTAGTGTACACCCCATCGGTTTATATAATGACACAATAATTGTAGGAGATTTACAAAAAAACGAGAACAAATCTTATATGTCATGACATGG